TGGCCTGCTTGTATGCAGCCAGTTCTTTGGTGTGCTCCTCCTTCAGCCTTTGATTCCTGCTCACACTTGCATCCAGTTGCTCTTGCTTCTCCACCAGTTCTTTGGTGTGCTCCTCCTTCAGCCTCTGATTCCTGGTCACACTTGCATCCAGTTGCTCTTGCATCTCCAGGAGCTGTTTCTCTAGTTTGAGTATCTCTTTATGTGCAGCTTGTCGTCTTTCATACGCTGGGTCTCGAGACTTCGCTGGCCGTGCTGCTTCCGATTCCGCTGGCTGCGGAGGCGGGGGACAGCCAGCATGCTTTGGGCGCACAGCAGGTGGCGGTGGCGGCGGCACCCAAGACATTACAACTTTGATTTGACTTCACCACATAACATAAACATTCGTACATGCATGCATACAGTTTCCGCATCTACGCATATACGCGTCAGGCTGCTTAGCTGTTTCGTCTTTTATGCTGTTGGGGATCTAGCATGGGTGTGGCTTCAGAACTCAGCTCAACTTCTGATGTGAGACGGCAACAGCGAAGACGGCCCACTTGCAGGACACTGAACAAGACCCTAACGACACCGCAACTGATTTCACTTGCAAGACCCAGAACAAGGCCCTGACCACACCAAAGCGCCGCTGGTCCTGCTGAAAAGTCGTGGCCTCAGCGCGGAAAATGCGGCACGCAGCTGACATGCTCCATATGGCCATGCACTCTACCTTTGCACAGGCCCTGTACTACCTTCTGTGACGTCTCGGCTCTCTGCAGGCCCAGGACGACCAACGTCCGGGGCCCTGGAATCCAGGGCCTCAGAGGGCGCTTTTCAAGCACAGTAGGTGCAATGAGCCGGGTTTCTTAGCACTGAGGACTCAGTGCCCAGTCCTTCGAGTTGTTAGCCCCGACATGCTGTAATTGAAACATAATGCTAAATTTCACTGAACCGAGACCCTGAAAGGGGTCAAGAGAACCGTAAGGGGTGGGTTGAGCTGAGCCCCGAAAGGGTTCAACTGAGACCTCCAAAAGAATCAGCAAAACCCTGGAAGGGCTTTCAAAGGAACCCCGAAAGGGGTGTGAGCGTAGCATGACACTTCAAATTGAAGGCTCCTCGTCATGTCGGTGTCGTCGGATACTCGGCTTTCAAAGAGCAATTGCCACGGAGGATGCTGCCATGGATGTTGACAAGCTCAGGCGAGGGCCATCCAATGCCAATGCACCCCCGTTGGGTGTAGGTCTGCCATTGACACGCAGCGTCTATCAGTCACGAACTGGCTGGTCAAACATACATGATGCAACGCTCAGGCAATGGCCCATGGATCACGTAGCGCCCCCAGTGGTCTGCTTGTTGTGTATCTAACAATATGCTCAACCCAAAACACCGAAGGAGAAAACGAGTCTTTATTGAAAGCGGTTTTAAGCGTGGGGGTTTCTTTGCCAACAAAAACAGGTTTCTCGCAAGTGGTTGAACAAACCGGTTTGTGGCGTAGGGTTTAGCTTTACAAACAGAAAGAAAACAAGAAGGCTTTTGTCATTTCAGCTAAAATGCGTCCAAAAGCAAAGAAGCACTTCAGAAAAAAACGGTTTTCGCACACAACCGGTGGGGTTTCCGCTTGTTGCAAACAAAACCGGTTCGGGTTTGTGTTGAAAGCGGTTTCTGGCGTGGAGGTTTATGACAAAACCGGTTCTTGCGAAAAAAACTTTCTCGCGATTGGTTGGACAAACCGGTTTGTGGTGTGGGGTTTAGCTTTGCAAACAAAAAGACAACAAGAAAGAATTTGATTTCAGGCAACATCTGTGTGGAGAGGTCTGGGGCTCATCATGACGTGTCGTGTGCCACTTGATCAGCGGCCATGCCATGCGTGATGACGTGTCGTGTGCCACTTGATCAGCGGCCATGCCATGCGTGTCAACATGTGGGTGGAGAGGTCTGGGGCTCATCATGACGTGTCGTGTGCCACTTGATCAGTGGCCATGCGTGTCAACATGTGGGTGGAGAGGTCCGGGGCGGATCATGATGTGTCATGCGCCACTTGATCAGCGGCCATGCCATGCGTGTCAACATGTGCCACTTGATCAGTGGCCATGCCATGCGTGTCAACATGTGCCACTCAACAGGCCCGACCTTCTCCTGCGCCTACAACAAAACATAGCAGCGAAAACTTTGGGCCCTGGAATCCAGGGCCCATTGAAGATGTTATCGATTTGAAGGAATCCTGTTCTCTCTGACCACGGTTCCCTGCAAAGTTCATGTGGAATGGGTTTATAGGGTTCAGGGTTCAGGGGTTTAGTTTTCTTTTAGGGTGTTAGGGGTTAGTTTTTACGGAATGGGCCGCTGAGCATACAATTCATAGTAGACCGACCTGATGATGCGCTTTCGCAACCCTGCAGGACTGGGGCTGCTGCTCCGAAAATGTCAAAGCTCCCCCGTCGGGACATCATCTGCACAGCGCTCAATCAAGTTGGCACAGATGTCGCTTACTTGTTGCCTTCGTGTGCACTCGCAGCTTTGCAGGCCCGGGGCTGCTGCCAAGATGTCAAAGCTCCCCAAAAGAACATCAACTGTGCAGCTCAGGATGGCAGGCAGGCACACTTAAGACTTGCATACGCGCTCACAACTCAGAAAGACTGGGGCTTTGGCCCTGTCGATTTGTGCTGCTGCAAACATCCACACGCACTCACAGCTCAACAAGACTGGGGCTTTGGCCATGTCGATCTGTGCTGCAACATGCCAAAAACTCGCAGCATACGCAGCACAGGTGTGTCTTTTTTATGGGTGTAATGCGACATTCAGAGCTCAGACCGGCCACTCACAGCGGCTAACATACGGGGCCACTATGCAGCGGCAGAATCAGTCACGGCCACTTTGACAGCGGCAGACCTACACATGTGATATCCGCACAGCACAACAACGCCACTGCATCAGCCCCAGTGACAGTGGTTTTTTCCTCAGGGGAAAGTTATGTTAAGGATGGGAACTTATTGTGCTCAGGTGGGGGTGGGGTGTTAAGGAGCGGGAGTCTTTTTATGTTTTCATGCTTATTTTTTTCCTTTCCCAGCACTGTCCGTCGAATTCCAGCAGCCAAAATAACAAAGACCCAAATACAATCAAAAAGACCCAAATACAACGAAAACTACTTATTGACGAGCGACAATGAAAGAGCTGAGCTCCCTTTTGGAGCAAGCATAGACTGGTGGGACTATAATCTGCATCTTTCTCCGAGCATGCAGCAGACATTGATGACAAGGGTTGGTGAGCGCGTGGTTCCAAGAGCAATTAGAGAAGCGTTTGCTGATCTTGCGAGTTTACCTAGGTTGTGTTGGTGTCTTTGGGGTTTCTTAGGGCTGCTAGGGTTTAAGAATTTTTATGGGCTGGTACAGGTTTTTGGTCTGTAGCTTAAAGGTGTACAGGGCGTAGCGGCTTCTAGGCATGGGGGTTGGAGTCGCCCCTGGACAGTCTAGGCGTTGCGCAACTTTCCCAGGGTTTGCTGGCTTTGTCGAGCTTTTGTGGGTGGGAACTCACTTTGGACTGCACGGAAGCTGGCTGGATCTAGGAATGTCCGATCAGGAGTTCGTTTATGTTCCAGGGTTGTAGGTATTAGGGTGTTCCACGCCTGTGATATGCTGGGATAAGGCCTCAAACGCCCAACAGACGCGTCTGGCCTTTTTTACAGCAGAGCATAGATTAAGGCCTTTGTATCGGTAGTTCTCCGAACACCCCAAAAACCCTTCAACCCTTGACCACTACACCCCCCAAACCCCTAACCATAAACACTAAGCCCTAAACCCTAAACCCTAAACCTATAGCCCTTAAACCCGGCTCCGATCTTTCAGCGTCTCAAGAGCCCGCCCGAAGTCCCTGAAGCCTAGGGTTTAGGGTTTGGTTAGGGTTCAGGGTTTAGGGTCTAGACGCTCCTCAGACCAAAAACCTCCAAAACCTCTTAATTGCCTGTCATCAGGGAATAGACGTTAAATCATCTTATAAGGAATATCCTTTGAAGTCATATGAAGGAATTTATCTTAAAGCATGTTCAGGAATATACCTTAAACCTTACTAACCCATATAGACCTTAAACGGCCGTAAAGATCCTACTATAATTTAAGGCCTATTTTTCCTAGAGGCTCCACATATACTACCATTATGGAATTAGGTCCCAAGGGTTTTAGGGACCTAATTCCATAATGGTAGTATATCCGGAGCCTTTGGGAATTGATGATTTGTTGGTAAGGTCTGGGCAGATCATCAGGCTTCGGTGGAGGGCAGGAGGGGGTTCAGCCGGTTCCCTACAGTAGGAGCCCCAATCCAAAAGACTAGGGTTTAGGGTTTAAGGCTCTCAGCCTCTAAGGGCTCATAGTTTAAGGCTTGTGGGCTTAACGACTATGTAATATAAGTTTTGTTGACCTTTGTGAGCCGTAGGGTAAGAAAAATGTCCAGTGACTCCACGCACTACATTGTCACGAAGTGTCCTCAATCCGGTCTCCACCTTTTTGAGGTTTACTCTAATCCGAAAGCTCTGAAGTTTCAAGCCCTCATCCCTTTACCCCGAAGCCATCTTCAGCCCAAGATCCTTTACACTAATCATCCTCAATTCCTAAACCTCTATGCCTAATCGCAACCCCCAACCCCATGTTTCACCCCATGCCTCGATTGTGAGGGGACTCGATGGGAGAGTTGGATCTAACATGTGTACATAAGCAGAACCCATGTGCTGAAATAGGCCTTACTAGGTCCTTATTATGGGCATTAAGGCCCCCTACTCACCACCCCCCTCAGGGGCCCCTATGACTTTTACCTTGAATTAGGGGACTTAATTAGTATTATGGTTTAAGGCATACTCCCTAATTTAGGGATCTTGGGATCTCTGGGTGTGCTGTTCTCGGTGCTTGGAGGGTCGGGGGACTTAGTAAGTAGGTAGTAAGTAGACTTATAAGTACCCTAAAAGGGACCCTAATTGGGGTTATGGTACTTATAAGTCCATAAAATAACCAGTTACTAAGTCCCCCGACCCTCCAAGTGAGGTACTACCAGCGCCAGGACAGCCCAGTCAGCAGCCCCCGCCGCACGGATCAGAACTCTGAGGCGCTAGGTTTGGGGTTACCTTTCCCAAAGGCTCCATGTACCTTTAAGGCTTCCTCTAAGGGTCTACTATGAGGGTACTATAAGGGTTCTATAATAGGGTTTAGGGTATAAGGGTCTAAGGGTCTAGGGGCTTATTGCCCAAAGGCTCCATGTACCCAGAAAGTAGGTTCTTAGGTCTTAGGCCTTAAAGTGCCCATATAGGGACCCCTTTAAGGCCTAAGTACCTACTACGTGGGCACATGGAGCCTTAGGGTTTTGGTTAGTAGGGAATGGAAGGGGCCTTATAAAGGGGTCTATAAGGGCTACTATAAGGAATACATAAGGGTACTATAATATAGGGGCCTTAAGAATCCTATATCTTACCTTTGGTTAGTAGGGAATGGAAGAATGGTAGTAACAGTAGTTAGAACTGTACCCCATTCCTCCATTCCCTACTAACCCAAGGTAAGTTTGGGGTTGGGGTCAAGGGACCCAGAGGGGCTTAGGGTTAAGGGGCTTTATGAGGTGTAGGGTTTAGGGGTTATATGGGGTGTAGGGTTTAGGCTTTAGGAGTTTTATGAGGTGTAGGGTTTAGGGTTAAGGGGCATTCAGGCGTTAAGGTTTTGGAGGGTTTAGGTCTGGGGGTTAAGGGGCAAATTTAGGGGTTTAGGGTCTAGGGGTTTCTATATATTCGGGCCTGAATAGTAGCTTTGTATACCTATGGAACTCCGCCGTCCCGATGCAAAAGAACCTTACACAAACAAAAACCCCAAACCTTAAGCCCTAAATCCCTAAACCCCTAAACCCCACAGCGCACACAGGTTCAAGCGTCACCACGAGATCTTCAACTGGAGGAGTACGAGGCCAGGTGGGAACACTTGATACGAAAAGGTGGCTACATGGGATTAGTGCAAGAATCCCTGGCAAGGGCTTCGGTTCTGTCGGGCTCATGTTCGGTCTACATCGTGCTGCTTTGTATAATGAATTTAGGGCACGGGTCTTGGCGGGCTGAATAACTCGCAGAAGCAAGATTTCCCGTTAGTCCCCATGTAGTTTATGCCATAACACCGCTCTATAATCAGCACACACGAACTCAACTGCCCTGAAACATCATCCCTGAACCCGAAACCCCGCTTCCGAAGCCCGAAAGCTTAAACTTCACACCCCCTGAGCTCGGCCTGGGTTCAGAATTCAGACCTTCGACCGGTTCAGGACAGACACTAAGTCCTCAATCCTGTTCCCGAAGCCCGGTTTAGGGTCTAGGGGTTGAGGGTCTAGGGGTTTCGGGGTTTGGGGCGTAGGGTTTAGGATAAATCTTAAACCCGAGAGACCCTTTGCAGAACCCAAGCCTTAGTGCAGGGGCCTCAGAAATGAGAAATAATGAGTTAAATCATAATATGAAGCCCTATAAAATTTAAGCCATATTCCTTAATTAAGGGGTACTGGGCTCTCTGGGTAGCCCAGTGCCCAGAGCCGAAATTCGCAACCCTTGTAGCACAAAATGGTCCGCCTACCAAAAAAGACGTCAAACTTAAAACCTTAAAAATCCCCAAACCCAAGCTTTAAAGAAACCCTGAACCCTAAACTCCTAAACCCTAAACCCTAAAACCCTAACAGAAATCCAGGCACCGATTTGGAGTCGGAGCTTCACCGAAGGCTACTGCATGCTCCCTGGCTGCACTGCGCGCTTTAAGGCCTGAGAGATTCAAAGTTACCTTGAAATTGAAGATCTCCGAATTCCTGACAGTCACGGATGAGAGTTTAAAGTTACCTTGAAGGGTTCCGAGTTCCGAAGAGTTACGGAGCTAGAAAGGTTGCTAGGGGGGTTGTGTTTTCGGGCTTAGGGTTTGGGGGTTTCTTTGGGCTTTTTAGATGACGGAAGAAAGTAGAAGGCTAATTGCGGCTCTTGAGTCAGAGATTTGGGGTTTAAGGGCTCAGCAGTCGTCAGCCGTTGTTTAGTACGAGATGCTGCCTGCATGGAGTTGAAGAATCGCTGGAAGTTCTGTTCTTTAGGGTTTACCCCTTCGGCTCTTTGCTGGATATAGAGCCCTGCATATACAACCTACTTGGAGGGGCAGGGGACTTAGTACCGAGGTTATAAGTAGAGTTATAAGTACCCTGACTGGAGTTTCCCCAACTACAACCCTGCTGAAAACCTACTCACTAAGTCCCCTGCACCTCCAAGAATCGTTTCCATATCGTATGTTTTTTTTTCTAGCTGCTGCCCAAATCGGCGGCTTGTGCGGGTGACTGATTAACAGCCTGAAACTCTCTTTGGAGTTCATTGTGTTGCCCCCTCGAAACCCACTTGTCGAACTATTCACGCGCGTACAAGTGTTTAGTCGGTACCTTGCTTAGCCTAGCTCGAACAGTCGATGCTCGACGCGTCAGTCATGTCAGCATATGGCATCCAAGGCCTGGACATGTTAAGCTCCTGGAGGGGAAGCCACGCCCGAGTAATTACAGGATGACTTCTTCAGCTTAGGGTTCCGCGGGGGTAGGTGAGTGGTCAATTTTTCCAGGATGTCCGTGCCAGAATGGAGTCAGCCTATCGTGAAACTCATGAGACCATGCATCAACACTAGCTGCTATATTCTGATATAGAAGCCTAAATAGTTGATAATGGTATTCCCTCATAGTCCCAGTAGGAAAGTGGTCGAAGAGTATACCCAAAAACCCAACACGACCCCAACACCGAGTCCCATGCTCCAAGCTCCAAGGCCCATTAAGAGGACGTTCATCCAGTTCAACACATGCGAACATGCCGCTTGGCAAATAGAGGGGTTCTAGGGTGAAGGGCAAAATTCATCGCGGGATCCCTTCTGCCATTCTGATGCCTAGCTTCTCCGGCTGCGAACAGCGCCGAAACTACAAAAAATGAAGGTGGATGTCGTCGTCGTCATCGTCCCTGTAGTAAGAGCAAGGACCGCGAGTAGCAAGATATATATATATATATATATATATATATATATACACGTCATTTCACGTGCATCCGTATACATATAGATATGCATTTTCACATAATCGCTTAGTTATTTAGCTACTATTTCGTACGGGCGCATATGTGTGTTTGTATATATGCGCATATGCATACATGTACATGTGTAAGGATTGTCTATATCTCTTTTGTTTGTTCTCTCTCTCTATATATATATGTTTATACATATATATATATATATATATATACATATTTATTTATGTATGTTTTGACTCACGCATCATTTCACGTGCATTCGTATACATATACAGATATGCATGTTTAATTAATTATATAATCATTTAGTTTGTTTTAGCTACTTTTTCGAAAGGGCTGGTATATGTGTTTGTACATATGCGCATATGCATACATGTACATGTGTAAGGATTGCATAAAGCTGATACGCAGGCTGCCGGTTCGGACATGTAGTGTAGAGATGTAGGAGAGCATACACTCAATATCAGACATTGAATATGTGCCCTTTCATCTTCGCGATCTCACATACCAAGGTGGAGATGAACATGAGCCCCTTCTTTATCCGAAGCAGCTTTCTTTAGCGTGAAGCAGCATTCTTGAACGTGAAGCTTGACGGTAAAATAAAGTCGTACCGAATTCTTGATCGATGTCATCGGCTTGCTGCTTCGGGTGATGCACCCATGCAAGCATGACATTTGTGTAAGTATGGTTGCCATGAGTCCGGTTTCCTTGTGGGAGGGGTACGCAATAGTCCAGTAGTCCGCCGTACGATAATATTAATCCAGCCTGGTTCCAGAGAGAAGAATTACGAAATATATTTCGCAGAACAGTGACGCAGGTCCCACTGCTTGCTGTGAAATTGGTTGGGCAATCGCTGCATACGTGGACGGACTCCACAATGTCAGGCCTTGCAACGTAATTTCCGCGGCATGTTTTCGAGGCTCGCTGAGCCAGGATATGCGCCATGATCAATGCTGTTTTCTACATGTAACGTAGTTTGTAATCAAGAATTCAAGACAGCAAACAAGCACTAACAAAAATAAACGGATTTGAGCTTTTGATTGCACGTCGGCATGATTGATTTTTCAAGCAGCACTGAGGACGCCGCACTGATCAGGGAACATGCTCGAATCATCCGGCGTGGACGAATAATGTGAACTCTGCACTTTCGGGTCTCAGCTTTTTGGTTTTGGAAGTTCGACTAAGCAACACTAAGCGGCGCGGCTGTTTGATTAGCTTGTGCGTGCACGGCCGAAACACATCAATTGCATCCGCCCCCAGCGTTGCAACCCTTCCCAGACGTCGTCAGCGTAAACATTCCGAGGACGTTAAGCCTAAACCACCAACCCCGTACCTTCGCAGTTTCACATCACTTGCACGTAATCAGCCCTGCAACTTCGCCAGAAACCCCTTCAAATACATAGCCATCCTCAATATGATTAGGCTCTCAAAACCCCTTGTCGTTTACCCCTTCCTGTCCAATGTTGGCTCCAAGCCCCGAAACTGAAACCCGAAAACTCACGGTCGCCTACCCTAAGGCTTACTTACACCCCACGAATTTCAGGTGGGACACCGCCGTTCTCGGTCAGTTTAAATCCGTGGGCGCTGGAGCTTCGCCACTTGGTGTTTCCAGTTTGGACAAGATCTGCATTGTTGTGGTCTAAACTTAACGAATTTGTGAGATGAAACGCAGGACGGGTTGTTGTAGTCGGAGTGAACGCGCAAACTTTCGGAGCAAGTTGGGTTCTAGATTATTGGCTATGTGGTTCCACCCTAAACTCTAAACCAAACTCCGGGCGTGAACTGCATTTCGATGCTTGTTCTTTTCTGGTGCGATGATTTCTGGAACGCGCCTATGATTTTGTTGAAATTTCGTAGTATAGGAGTCGGGATACTTGCTATATTCCTTGAGGCTTCTTATGTTACAACTCGAGAACACCGTTGTTTAATTCATATCTCCCCACGACCGTTCTACCCCTGAGGGCTCCTGTACCAAGCCCAGTATAGCAACCCTTATACGGTTGATGATATAAATCCTGCATTACCCATAATATAAGGAATATCTGGGAATTATGGTATATTCCTTATTATGGGTCATGCAGGATTTATATCATCAACCCTAAACCTTAAACCTCAAACCCTAGGACCCTATAGACCCCTTAAAAGAACCTCTTCTAGGTACCCCTCTAGATTCCTTTAAAGGAACCTTGTAGAGGAACCGACCAGCCTGCAAGTTCCTGCCAGTCGCAGGCGACAACCTGGGCACATCTTCAGAATGCTGCACACTCACTGGTTTCTCGGACCAAGGTTCCTGAAGTTTAGGCTTAGGGGTTTAGAGTTGAAGCCCTTAAACCTCAAACCCGAAGCCCGTAACCAGAATTTGAGGTGTGGCCGTGGGGTTATGATGAAGACACCGCACTGCTGACGTGTGCGGTTCACGTACTTGGTTCTGATTACAGCTGTCGGTGCAGCCACTGTAGGCACCTGCATTCGCTCTTGCAATGGTGATGGGTTCGCAGTTAGCATAGGTGGGAGCTCATGATGCTGTCAATGCTTTTGCTACTGGTATAGGCTATCGGTATATTACTTATCACGGCAGGCCAACAGTCTGACAACAGTGTTTTTGTACTAGTCCAGCAGGAAGAGGCGGAAGGAGGAACGCGGTCTGTGGCTCAGTACTCGCGATTTATAATGACCATGGTCAGAACTATCAGGACCTGCAAATTACTTCTTGTTGCTGCTGCGGGAAATGGTCCAAATTGTATGCAAGTCTAATCCTCCTTTTGTCGTTGAAGGTTTTCCAGGAGGATTGGGTGCGCTGGGCTCCGGATAAGCTGCAAAATCTGCGGTTACACAGGGGAAGGTTTGTTGCATTGCTGCTCATCGCCAGATGGTGCGGTTTGCCGTTGGAAACTTCTTATTGGCTGTAAACTCAACTTTTCAACTTTTGGGGTTCTTATAAGGTAGTCAATTCTGAAAGTTAAATTTTTACTCTCCGTGGTTTTGGGCCAGTGAGACTTACTATGGGTATCTCAAGATGAGCTCAGCTGCTAAGCTCTTGCCCATCAGTATGCGCTCAGCACCCCAAACACTGAGGCTGAACGCTTGGGTGACAAGGTTCATCTTGGTGTCTTTTGTAATGATGCGCATCCAATCCGCACCTCTCATCCCTAACCTAAAGGGTCCTAAGTGTCTTAGAATGTTGGGTTTCCATAACCGGAATTACTATGATTATTTTTTTTTTATTATGGTTTTCCCCTTATAATATAGGTATTCGGGACCCTTTGTGTAATCCCAGACGTCAAAAGGTGGGAAACAGAGAGGAAGTCGATCGAAGGTTTAGGATAGCTGGCGCGCGCGTCTGTCTCACGAATCCCAAAGGGTCCAATTATCATCCTTGTGTATACTTATAGGGCATTTTGGGGGTCTAAGTATGTCCCATGATGATACTTGGACCCTTTGGGAATGTAGGAGAGAACCCTAAACCTTTGGTGACCCTGTCGTTGGTTTTGGGAGTGGGGTTTGCAACACTATTTGTAGCCGGCATCGCAATCTAAGTCCAGCAACAAATATGGGTTTTTCTTCAAGTTCTTATGGGAAGATTAAACTATACTGCATAAATGTTAAACCCTACATTCTAAGCTGCCTCAGGCAAGGGCTTGCCTGTCATGCCGAGTCATGCCTGTCATTGGCGTTCCCGGCGAGGAGGCTCTTCTGATTATTGTTTAATGTGAGTTCGTGATTAGTAATGGTCCCCTCAATAGAGCTAAACTCGGCCCGGAACTCAATAGTGGAGCAGCCCCCTCAATAGAGCTAAACTCGGCCTGCACGTGATAGTAAACTCCGCCTCAATAGTCCTAATTCCCGAGGTTTTATTTACCTAAGGTTTAGGTAAATAAACACTCCTACTACAAAGTGACGCCCTGGAAGAGGAGAGACAGAAAGAGGACCTAAACGTTCAAGCCTTCAGGGATTCAGGCTCCAAACTCTGGTTTTGCACGGCTGCCAGATCTATAGGTTTCTGATATATATATATATATCTATACATATATAACCCCCTTGCAAAAAGAAGCCATCCCATCAACTTGTCTAAAGGGGATAGTCTGCGATAGCTGACCACCCCACAATAGTTCAGATGAAAAAGCCCCCTCAATCGTGCAGAGGCCTGCCGGGGGACTCCAGAGCCGCCAGGCAGAATCCCTGTCTGTATTCAAAACCATAACCCTAAAGGGTCCAAAGCACCCAATAATCAGGTACTTGGGGTTTAGGATAATAGTTTTGTAGGCTAGTATTTGGGAGAGTATATGATTGTTAGGCACTTGGACCCTTAGGGTAGCCGCCGCTCTATGGAAACCTAAAGCTTCGAGCAGTCAGGCCAAAGCTCCAAACTCAGGGCGTGAATTCAGCACAATCTACGACCCGTGCTCTACGGATCTCTAAACCCTAAACCCCTAACCCTAAAACCCTAAACCCCTAAAGCCCGAAGACCCTGATATAATATAAAGGCTTCGAGCACGAAGCTCCTATGACTCCGGCATGCTATTTAGGAGGCGAAGAGCTATGGAGGCGATACCCCTTAATGGCCCAAGGCCCAACTTTGTTCCTGAGTAATACCCTTTTGCCCTTTTTAGTTTAGGGCCCCTTTTTTGACACCAAAGGGTACCCTTATTATACCGGGACCTACTTAGGAACCAAAGGAATTATCCTGCTCTGAGATCGCTAAATTCCTCAAAATTATAGTATGATAGCCACCAAATCCTTATTCTAATTATTAAGGCACCTATATTAATTCGGTACTTGGGCTTGAGGATGGTGGTAATGCGGGTCAGGAACTGGCGGGAGTGTACGACTGAGATGTAGAGACCCCAAAGGACCCAATGGTTATGTACTTAGGTTTCGGACAGCAGTTATGTAGGTTACTATTTGGGAGAGTATATGACTATTAAATACTTGGACCCTTGGGGGCGATACTGGTGAACTCCAATGATGCAATGAAGCCAAGATACCCTTTCCTGCGCAGGCGTTCGGTCCACCTTATGATGATCAGGTTGGCGTCGAGCACTTGCTACCTGCCGTTCTGGTCCGTGGGAATCGAGGGTGTAGGCTGTAGGGTTCAGGGTTGTGGGATCTATGCCATGCCCTGGCCGATGGTGCGACACTAGTCTCAACGCTGTCAGCACGAAGGGTCCCAATAACAACAGCATGTAACGCTGGAGAGCATGCAGATGAAACTTGTGAGACTACATTCCCCGTGCTTTTTCTGAGAATGCTGTTTTGATTGGAGTCTGAGGGTTTAGGGCTCGAGGCAGGCACGAAGCTACTGTATAATGGTTCCCAACTCAAGAAGCCAAAATCCCTAATCCCGAAAACCCAGCTGTCTCACCCCTAAACCCTCATCCGTAAAACCCTATTCCCCAATCCCTGAAACCCATCCCATCCTATCCCCAAACCCTCAACCCTAAACCCCACATGCTTCACTTTCTTTCCGTTGGGATCGGACTTCTTTGTGTAGGAACAGATCAGAGCTCAGTGTAGGCGTCACCATAAGTACCCTTACAACTTATAGCACACCTGGGGCAGAATGGTACAGGGTAGCAGGTTAAGGATATATTGAAAGTTTCAGTTTGCGATCTAGAGTTTAGCAGTTTAGGGTGTAAGGTATACATAGGGAGTGGCTATTTTCGTAGCAAGCAGTATATGGCTTCAGGCCAGAGTAGAGATGTACAACTCATTGCTTCGATTTTCGGGATAGTCGTTTATGAAACGAGTTAAGGACCTGAGTCAGGATTTGAAGTCGGCACTTTCAATTGAGAGTGTTTCTTGCGCTGAGCGCAGTGATGTGTAGCAACATCTCAGTAATTTATCTCAGTCAGACAGTCGGCTATTGTAGGGGCGTTAATTAGTATCTAATTATTAAGGTCCCTCTTTTATAGTACCCGTATAGAGCCCTTATAGTCATCCGTATAGACCCCTTTGAAGGATAGTCTAATTATTCAGGCCCCTATACTACTTGGGCTAGAAGCGTCCCCACTATGACTTCGGCCAGGCATGTCATGCTTTGATGATTGTCGGCATTCATAACTGGGTTCTTGTTAAGAGACTAATTTTAAAGTTGCCATAATAGGGATCTATAGGAGATAATATGGTGTCCTTATTATGGTAACTTAAAGTAAATCCCTTAAGAAGAACCCAGATAAAGCCGGGCCATTACTACTCGAAATGCTCTGAATAACCTTACATACCCCGAAGGCTCAAACGACTTACATTGTAGTATGGTCCTTGGGCCTTGTCACATGTGTTTGCAGTGCCTTGGAAATACGGAAAACCGCTCTAAAACTGTAAACCCTATAAACCCTATAGTCTTCGTACTCCATTACGCAAATTTCGTCCCACCGACCCCCAAACCCCACTGCCGTAGCCCAAATCTGGCTGGACTCTGAACACTGTCCAAAGCGTCCCGTGAACCTCGAAAGGCACTATAAACCCTAATCACACCTTGCACCCGGGTGTAGAGGATTAGGGTACTTGCTAAACCAAAAGACTTAAAGGAGAGTGGGTTCTGCCACACGTCATTGCGGCTTTAGTGCATGCTGC